TACTTTCTGCGGCACACCAAATTATATTGCTCCGGAAATATTGAGAGGAGAGGATTATGGTAAGCGAAAAATACTTCCTCTCTATTCGTACGGGATTAAAGCGTGGTTGAGGATCAATAGTTGCGCACGTTTTCACACTGTACAAATTCTCAGTGAATATCATGTTTGAAATGGTTCTTTTTTGCAAGCTTTAAAAGAACATCTTTTGCTACACAAAGTTTTCGTCCGTGACACGAACTTTCTTCGAACAGAGTGGACAGAGCTTATTCTTAATATTTGCTGATCTTGGAGTCAACTTCATTTAGGATTCAGCGTGGACTGGTGGGCGCTCGGAGTACTGATGTACGAAATGATGGCGGGTCGTTCGCCCTTTGACGTTGTGGGCATGGCTGGTGATGCAGAGCAGAATACCGAGGACTACCTGTTCCAAATAATTCTTGAGAAGCAGATACGAATTCCACGATCACTCTCAGTGAAAGCTGCCACTATTCTGAAAGGCTTCTTAAACAAATTAAGTTATTAGTTCCGTTTTTCCTCTGAACAATTCTGATCCAAGTGCATCGTCGCACTGTAAAACCAATAACGGCCTGGGAAGTATCTGATCACGATGAGGTGCAAACCCTGGCAGTTCATAGCAAATTGAGGAGGTACTGTCTCGCATTTTGCCCGACTAAGCTTGGCTGTTACTTAGTGCTATTAGCCTGAGCATGCAGCATACGTTACTGCAGAAGATGATGGTCTTAGTGCTATGAAATTCCAGCATGAGACCATCGCGGTCTGACTGCTGTTTGCTTCGTTCATTATTGCCACTGTCAAAATGATGAAACGTTCCGCGGAACTAAAAATTGCATTCATTTTCTATGCGTTTTTTGCAGCTATGCAATGCAAAAACGCATATTGACGAGGGGTTGTCTGGGTGCCTGTGTGTACGTCTATCACGCACTTTCATCTCAAGACCTGTAAAAGCTGCATGGTTGAAATTTCGGGAACTTAATCTACATACACGTGCCGGCCCCAATCCCCAAAATGGGCGCCATCACGCGCGTGGTGCCCGCGTACGGGCCCACCAAAGTTTTTTTGGGATAAGTTCATAACTCGGGAATTTGAGAAGCTAGAAAGCTGAAATCTTAGGGGGATGTTCCCCATCCAAGTGTGTATCAGTGAGCTCAAACCCAGCCCCCGGGTAAGCGTGGTACCCGC